AAAAAAAAAAAAAAATCAATTCATTTATAATTGTTCTTTCATGTAAGCTTGAACTGTCATTAAACGCCCGCGTGATTACAACTTAGGATTGTTCATTGATAAATAAGTGATAAATACGTTTCTTTCGTTCTAGACACTGCCTTTTTTTTGCTTTTCTTTTTTAATTACAACTATTTCCTCTTTCTCTCTTTCTTCTTTTTGTTCATAGCGACGAGAAATAAATGAGCTATGTTGAGTCTTTATTACGAACCCGTCGACTATTATAATTAAAGAAGAGTTTCACGTAGATGGACTACGTTTTTTTATTGTTACCACCGATGTAACCATTGTTCAAAGTCTCAGGTTCGTTCATATATTCAACTGTTGGCGAATGGCGTCTACGTTTCCCTTCAATGTCAACGTCGATCTCTAAGGTATTCAACGATAGCGATGGGAAAGAAAAGTTTCTTTCGTAGTTCGCTAATATCATCGGACTACTATTCTCATAATCAGGATTTTTCTTGGATTTAGATTTGATAGAAATCGGACTATCTTCCTGCGTTCGTTGCTGCATATGTTGTTTGATCAAATTTTGTAGACTTGTTGCCCTTCCTGTCGATGTTTGATTATCGATCCCTTTGGGTGTACTTTTAGCATGAATGAAGGGTGAATTTTTAACAGATTTCAAACTATCCTCGACGAATGGTAAATTTAATGTATCTTTGCTCGACGCTAAAGAATCTCCTGAAATACCATCGAAATCATCGAAACCTGCTTTCAATGGTATCTTAGACAAATTCATGTCATGGAAGTTCGTCGTTGTTTTAGAATTCTCACCGTATGGTTCTAACGTGTAACGTGGGCTCAAACTGTTTTTAATACTGGTCGGCTCGAAACTTGCAAAATCCCCAAAATCCTGACGTAAAGGAGAATCTTCTTCTCCTTCAGCTTCCTCTTCACGGAACTCTTGAAGAGTTGCCATCTCCAGGTCCCTGTTATCCAACAACACCATAAAACAAAAATTACAAACGCAAAGGTTAAACGATTAAACGTAAAATTAGATTATATCATAGAAATAATTCAATTACTTGTCAGTTTGCGGCGAATGAGACATATTCTGATTTCTCGCTTCGATGCCTTCAGAACTGTGATAAAAACTGACTCGTTCGAAATCTTCCAAATTAACATCTGGTAGCAATACGGTAGCTATATCGATAAAAGTTGGTCTTTTTGTTGCTTTATGACACCAAGTACGTCTCATTAAATTGTAAAGCGAGTCTGGACAGTTCTCAGGACGTTCCATAACACCTCCCTCGATTACATATCGTAATACCTACGAAAATACGAATCAATGTTATCGACAATCTCATTTGTGGTATTATCAAAATTGAATAAACTCATTTAACAATCATATTATCATTTTTACCTGGTCATTCGATAAGCCTTGATATGGTTGAGAGGCAAGAGTTACCATTTCCCATAAAACGACACCATAACTCCAAACATCGGAAAAACTCGTAAAGACGCCATCCTTCAAGCTTTCCGGTGCCATCCATCTTACAGGTAAAAGACCTTTGGTACCTTTACGATAATAATCAGTCTCATAGATATCCCTGGTCATTCCGAAATCACCGATCTTAACGGTAAGATCTTCGGCTACCATACAATTTCTTGCCGCTAAATCTCTGTGAACGAATTTCTTAGCCGCAAGGTAAGCCATGCCATCGGCTATTTCGATTGCCATTTGTAAAATTCTTTTCAAAGTCGGTGGCTGTCTAGAGAAATTTTCGCAAACGTCGGGTCTATGACTTCTCAAGTAAGTCTTCAAGTCACCGTTCACCATTAACTCCATTACTACCAATGTAGGTTGTCCTTGAGATACTACACCGAGTAATCTTACCACGTGATGAGTGTTAAAAGCTCTATAAAAGTATAAGTAATTAAATCTCAACGTGGAATTAATGGATTAGAAAAGAAAAATAACAAAATACTTGCTTCATAACAGACGCTTCGTTAAGAAATTCTATTCTTTCTCTATCAGTCGCATTCTCATTGACGGTTTTAACAGCACAACGAACTTCAGGTCTCCCTTTAACGACGTCTTTGGCTAAACCTTCGTAAACCATTCCAAAAGAACCATTTCCTAATTCTTTCAAAACTTGAATTTTCTTTCTGGGTACTTCCCATTCGTCGGGCACGTAAACTGTGCTCACGTATTCGGGATTAACAGTTGCTATGAGTCTAACACTACGAACGTTACGCATGTACTTCCTTTTGCAGAAATAAAACACTGCGGGTGACAGGACAACAACTAAAATACAAAAGATCGACCAAAATAGTATCCAATAGAGTCCTATATTGGATTCTTTGATGAAGAAATATAAGGGCTCCGTGTAATTTCCATTTCCAGCCAAACTTGTAGCCCTGACTTTGATCGAGTAATTGCCAGGTGGGAGATCTTTAAGATAGTAGACATTGCCAGATGCATTAAAATCACGTCTAGTAATGCAAACTACCGTTGCTTTTATCTATGAATAATAAAATTACCGATTTATTTATTAATTACATATTTTAATTAGAAGTCAATGTAATTCTAAAAATAAAAAACAAATCATTACATTTTGTATATCCACTCTCTTATACTCGATTTGATATGTAACGATCAAACCATTGGGTTCCGATGGTTCTGCCCAAGTAAGCTTAATATCAGTGAAGCTATTATTCGTTTTCATCAAAGTCAATTTCAAAGTATTAGGTGGAATATTATCAGCACCTTTCAATGGTAAAGTTCGATAAGTCTTCATACTCTTAGTCGAACAAGTATCATTGGTATCATTTTTCACAACCTCTCGGCAAGCTTGTACTTCGATGTTATAATAAGCAAAGTGTCTAAGATTTTTCAAAACGTAGCTGAGATTTGGCGTGGGCACTTCTCTGTCGAATGTGATATACGTATTGTTTACCATCTCTTCATTTTGATATTTTTTCTGCAAAGATTCCGCCTATCGTTAAAAAATATACTTATTTAACGAATTATTTTTAATGGAAAAGTGTAGTTAATGTTACTTTTGACTGAATATAGATGATATTATTCTATACCTTGGTGATATTTTGATCCATCATTTTGATCGCCTGAAGTATCTCGGAAGTGTCTCGTCTTCTACGAGCATCTATTCGTTTCACGTAAACCTGATTGTGTAAAGCATCCTCGAATGCAATAGAACTTGAAACTTCTTTTTCGCGCATCGACTGATCTAATTCCCTATCCGCACAATCGCAGGAAGATAAGTCAGGTATTTTAACTAATTCTTCCTCCGCGCGTTTTCTTTCTTCCTCGGCTATGACAGAGATCGATTTTTTCTCCGGCAAGGGCATTGCTAAATATCACGCGTAACATTATAAATTTATAATAATTCGATAAAGTTATTAAAAAAAAAAAGAAAAACAAAAATAATATACAACTTACGTTCATCGCAGTAGTTTCTCTGATCGATAAAACTGGAATCATCTTTTACCCAACGTCCCATAATTCTGTAATACGTAAGATTACCATTTTTTTTTAATGGCGGAGACCAAGAGATTATGATTTCGCTGCTAGAATTGCTCCGAGTTGTGAGAGCTCTGGGCGCGCTGGGTGCATGGGGTTTGGTGGTAAAATATGTAACTTTACTTTGAGCCCCTGACCTCTCTGTAGCGATGGTATATGTTTTTACGTAAAACGCGTATTGCGTGAATGGTTTCAATTGCGTTAAGATATGAGAGAGATATGTTGTTTTTTCAGGTTCTGTATAATTAGGAGTAACTGATTTGGTAGTTCCTTCTATGGCAGAAACATCATCAACTCTCCAACCGTCACCCCCGCAAGCGTCTCTTCCATCGTACATTGTCACATTTTCATTAGGTGCTTCTATAAAGTATACAACGTATCCCAATAATGATCTGGGATCATGATGAGTGAATTGTTCCCATTCGATCAATGCTGCATCCGATGTAGTTTTAGTGACAACTGTTTTCAATTCGGTAACATTACAAGCCACTTTATCGCCATTACTGTTAGGCGCCACTTCGAGATCAGTAAACTCTTGAAGATCTGCCTTTTTCCTTAGAGCTTCGATCTTATAAAAGCAGAGCTTAGGATTGAAATGAAAGAAGACTTTGGCCGGACCATCTTTGGAGTAAATACCAATATTACCGTGCGTACTCCAATCCCAAAGTTCTTGAAGATTCTGATTATCCAGAACAGCGAGAGTATATTTGTTGTTGTCCAAAGAGTTCCCTCTTATAACTCTAAGACTTTTTAAAAAGTTCAACGATATCAGAGGAAAACTTCTAACGATTTTAAGATACCCATCGATCTCTTCTATCATATTCAAACTATCCTCCAACTCGTTGACTATATTTTTACCACCTCTTATTTGAATCTCAAGGCTACCAGTTATATGAGTGCAACCACGTAACTTCTGAGCAGAAGCGATACTGTCGACGCTGGTACCACGACATTCCTTTAAACAAGGACCCTTACATTTTCTACAAGATGTCTTGTTGTTAACTTCTTCGTCCATGTATCCTGCAGGACACTCAATTATGCAGCTACCATTGAACGGTTTGTACGGATAATCTTTGACAATACTTAAAGCTTCACGGGGCTTCAACATTCTACGACATTCGTCCTCTCCGATGCAACGACGATTCATAAATTCAAATGTACCCTCTGGACAACGTTCTCCACACTGATTAGGTCCAATTAATACATTCTTACAAACTTTGCAATCATTTGCTGTTCGTCCTGTACAACCTCCCAAACACGATGGGTGGCAGCACTGACCAGACGCATCGCAGACACCTTCCAAACATCCGTCGCATACTGCAATCATCATTTTTCAATTAGGTTTTCAATGATTGTGTAATTAAATACAAATATTTTTTTATTGATCTCAGACCTTTTTGTTTTATAAATATATACATATATATAAGAATAAAAAAATATTTACTTCGTTGACAGTGCTGCCGATTCCAACAAAATGTCTCATCGGGCTTATTGTTGGTCAATCTTGTAGTACAATTTTTTTCACATATCGGACAGTCATTCTTTGGTTTATTTCCCTGTCAAATACAAAAATAAATTCTATGGAAACATGTTAGGATAGAATGATGCATTGTATACACACACTTACACGGAGCAATATGCACGCACATATTTAATATATGATATAATACTTTTTGTATTAATATTAAAATTGATTAAATTCATATTTATTGATTTAGAAGAAACGTTGTTCTCACTGGTAAACTTTATCGATTCGTCGTAAAACATGTTATCTCGTTTGAAATCGCGAAACGTTCGTCCGATTACTATCGACTTCGCACTTTTCTCTACTCGTGAAATATTACACGTTCAAATAATAAGAAGAGAAACACACGCGTGCCGCTCGAATTTCATTTATCCTACGTCATTAACTTATCGTCTTTCTCTTTCTTATTTTTTATTCGTCTTACAAAACGATTAAATTCTTTCTCCTGAAGAAAAATGATTCTACACAAATTTCTTCTCTTCTATCAAGACTTCTTCGTTTTTAAATTTAAACTTGAATTTAGAAATATTTTTTTACTTTCCTTTCTTGTTTTTATATTCAATTTTAAACACAGACACAAAATTAATTCGTATTATTTGTTCTAAATGTTTTTTAAAGGTTGAAATGTTTGTTTAAGTTTTAAAAGTGTATCAGTCGGTAAGTTAGATTCTCCTTCTTTTGTTTTCTATTCGAATTGACTCGAAACCGAAATTTCTAAGTTGTTATCTTGAAATTTATTAATGCACTAATGTATTGTTTAAAAAAATAACTATGTCATATTACAAAGTGTATATATAAATGTGTAATATTCATTCTAAAGTAAAATTAATATTCATTCATGTGTAGAAATTCATTCGTATTTGAATAAAAATCGTAAAATTTAATCGGTCGGTAAGATAAACTTTCTCTCCTCATGAAACTCATTCTTAAAAATTTGATTAATCTAATCTTTCTTTCAAAATAAATATATATAATTACAACATCAAACATTTCTCATTCAATTATCTCGAAGAGTTAAAAACCCATTCGAGATTTCAATTTTGCTTTGAAAAAAAAAAACAAAATAACAACGTGGTTCAATCAGTCGATACTAAAGATATCTCCTTTATCAACGCACTACGTTGATTTTTATTTCTAACAAAATTGTACGAATTAATTATAACAATATAATTATAAAAAAGAAAGAAGAGAGAGAGAGAGAGAGAAAAATAAGAAATAATATTAAAAAAACAACGACGACAGATGATATATGATATAATTGTAATGAAAATGAATTGAACAAATCAAATGAATTACTAACAACTGTTTTTTCGTTACATATTACTTTGGTCGTGTATATTGTTTAATAGAGAAAAACAAAGTGCATAGAATAAGATGAGAAAAGAGAGTATTATATTAGAGAGAGAGAGAGAATGTGTACGTATGTGTGAGGAGGGGCCGAGAGAGGGTTGGGAGGAGGGCGAGGGCGAGAGGGTGGAAGAGGGGAACACATCGCGAAGGTCGAAAAACAAATTGCGAAAGGCTGAGAGTTACGCTCGTTTCGTCCCGAGTGTTGTTGTTGTTCCTCCCATCGTATTCGTCGTTGATTCGAAGGAAAGCACGCGTGTTTGCTTTTCCACGAAGCATCTTCTAGTTACAGAGGACAATGCCTTTATGCGGATTTTCAAGGACTCCAACGCGGCGACCCATCCAGTTCCGAGGCTACACGTTTGTCTCTTTATAAACGTTTATTCGTGTGTGTACATGTGTATTTGACACACAAACGTACACGTGTAAATGTTCACATATGTATATATATATATACACGTGCCATCGATAATACTTATACACTTACTATTAAATTCTTTCGGCCATTTTTACGACCTTCAAATCGATCAAGTTCGATCCAGAATTTAATCGAATTTATTCCTATTTTTTTTCTGTTCTCTCTTTTCCTTCTTCTTCATCTTCATCTTCATCTTCATCTTCTTCTTCTTCTTCCTTGCAACGAGTCGGAAATATTTATGATGCATTTTATTAGATCGATTTCTCGAAAGAGGACGATGTTTAAATAGAGGATTCATTGTGTATGTGAGTGTATGTAAAATGTGTCCATTTTATATATATATATATATATGTGGTTCATTGAATTATTTAAATATTATCTTCAAATTTCTATTTAAAATGTTATGTTTTCTCGTAATAGAAAGAATGATTTTACTTTTGTGTTCTCTTTTTCAATAATTAAATTTCAATTTTTCTCTCTCACCATACCAAAAAAAATATGAATATATTTCTATATAAAATAATAAAAATCCTTACCGATATGACGTGTTCACCTTTCCCAGCTTTGGCTATGATATCCCAATCGATGGTGTCGACATAACAAAGTGCTGGATTTTTTTCGAAACGTACCGAACCACGTAGAATATCGGTTAACGAATGGAGACCGATTTCTTGCAGGTGCATCATCTCGAATGCAACTAATGCATAATTAATAAATAAAGAATGACCTCGAATCAATGTCAGGTTGGGAAATAGACGGCCGACGCTTCGTAATCCATTAACTCTGAAAAAAAAGAAGGAAAAAGAAAAAAAAAAAAAAAAAAGAAATAAAAATCAATATATTTTCTATTATTAATGTATTAATATTAAATATAAATAAATAATACAACACAAATATATTGTGTCTCTCTTTAAAATTAAGTTAACATCTAATCCTTTATCGATCGTCATTAAAATACATACACACAGCACGCACATATATTTTCCCATAAAACAAAATGAATATGGTGTGTGTATTTAAAAAAAAAAAAAAACAAACAAAAATTAAAATAAAACAGATGATAAAGTATTTTTAATCGTTTTTTGCAAGCGTGTCAATGAAAAGCTGTAAGATTCGTGCAACAACTCCATTCTACTCGTTTCGTGAGATCGTAAAAAAGAAAAAGAAAAAGTAGAAGAAGGAGAAGAAAAAAATAAACGCGGGGGGGAAATAAGAAGGGAGGAGGGGGGGATAAAAAGGAGGCAGAAGCCGCGATAATAACAAGCCGCGTGCCTGAGAACGAGTTTAGTGACCTGAGAAGGGGTTGGAACCGAGTGAAACGTCTACTTCGTTCTACTCGACCTTTTATAACTTCTCGATCGTTGCATACTTCCCTACAGACGGGGAAAAGGGACACGAAGATCAGGTTAATACGCGTACAGAAAAGTTTTATCCAACGGAAAAATAATAAAAAAATAAAAAAAAAAAATGATCTTATATACTCGTTGATTTATTTATAATTAAATACAAATCGAACGAGACACTTATTCGTCGATCGCATATATTTTTGTATCATTAATTATTTTAAATGATATAAAATATCATTTATAATATTATAATATTTGTAATATATAACATATTAATACACAAAGAGAATAATTTTTGTGATAATTGAATTATTATAGATATGAGATAAAATATTAATTAATAAATAATATTGAAAAATGTTTATTTCGAAAGAAGACGATTTGGGATTCGATGAAATATATTTATGTATAAAATTTGCATAAAACACGGCAAAGAAATAAATACACACACACAGAAAGAAAAGAAAAAAAAAAAACATAATAGAATTATGTTTCATCCAAAAGAATTCTGATAGTTTGATATTTTTGTAATTACGCAAACGTAGAGAATTAAATGCACGCACCCATGCGTTCGTTTATGGGGGAGGTAAAGGATTGTGTGTGTGTGCGTGCGTGCCTGTTATTTTATTCACGTTTTCGAAAGAGATAACATTGATTATTAAGCTTACCTGTATAAAATGAGGTATTCCGTTATTTCTACCAAATCTGGAAAGGTGAGATTCGCAAAGGCCGAATCGTCGGCATGATCGATTAGGAGAATTTGGACGAATCCTTCGACTACTCGACATCCTTGCAGTCTTGTGAATTGATTCACGCTGTTTCTTATGTCTATACTTTGGCACACTGTTTATCGAAAACAAACAAACAAAAAAAAAGAAACAAATGTCTCTATTAGATAATAGATATAAATGATTACATGGTAACAAAAAATCCCCATTTTATTTTATCCCCGAATTAAAATGAATATATATATATTATGTGTACACGTGTTTTATCATACGATCGTGTTTCACATATCAAGATGATTATTATTATTATTATTATAATTAATTATCTTCATTAATAATGTAAGAGAAGTATAATAAAAAACAAGAAATAAAATAAAATAAAATAAAATACATTTCCTCCATTCACATGTTTTTTAATATCATATATATTCATATGAAATAAAATGTGTGTATGTATATGTGTGTGTGTAGTTTCATAGGTTTATTCCAATGCCAGTTGATGATATTTTTAGCACGACCTGCTAGCATCGAGCTCGTCGACCGTTTTCGAAAGGGTTGTAACAGCAGACGGCGCGTCTTCAACTATATAAATAAGTTTCTTAGTCTATTTATGTTTTGTTTATTTGTTATTATATCAATTATAAATGTATACGTGGAATTATATGAAATATATAGAAAATACATGATATATATTTATTCATTGAAATTTGATTAATCTGTGAGCGTAACGTTTGGGGTGGGTTTCATCGAATTTTATTGATTTTTCTTGCCAAAGTATTATTTCACTATACACGTTACCCCCCTTCTTCTTCCTATTATATTATATTATACATTAATTTGTTTTTTTTTAAATATCGCGATAAAATAATAACCAATGTTAATTATAAATTATCTAATTAATTTTGGAATTATTAAATCGTGTCAATCCTAAAAAAAAAAAAAAACAATATCGGCGCAAAAATTGAAACGAATTCCATTAAGGAAAAAAAAAGTCTAAAGGAATGACTGACATTTTAGAAAGTAAATTTATGATTTACGCATAATTATCATAAGAAAAAAAAGAGAAAAAAAATGAAATCCATGTAACAACAACCTGATAAAATTACCACCACCACCACCACCATTACCATCGATGATGATAAACATTAATAATGAAGAATAATACGAATGTTTTTAGATAAAATAATCTAACATTGTGTGTAGTACCAGGAATTCATTCCAATCTGTTTCGTTTTGATACAAACATCCTCTCAAAGAGAGAAAGAGAAAGAGAAGAGAGTATAGGGAGTCTTAAGGCAGCCTACTTAAGAAGTTGCACCGGTCGATGCATTCCAGACTCTCTGCTGTTCAAGGTTACTAGCCATTCACCTAAAGGCCGAAGTACTCTGCTGCCCTGACTGCTGCCTCCTCTTTTTATCTTTATCCATAACTTCATTCTCTCTTTATTTTACCTATATATATATATATCTATTTATTTCTATTTTCTTCTATTTAAAAAAAAAAAAAGTTAAGAACCAACTTCCACCCCCGTCCCCCGCTCCTATTTTTATTCACTTCCAACATTTAACTCGCGCGTTCTTATTAATTCTTTCTCTCGCAACATTATTATTCTCTTTATTCCCACCACCTCCTTCTACTTATCTATTTTTATCTCATCTTCTCTTTGTCGAGAATCTTTGCCGTCATATATCCTCTTTCTCTTTCTCTTTTTTTCTTATTTTTATCACATATATTTTCCCACATCTTCTTCGTTTCTAAGAATTTTCACCCTTCGTATCTTCCCTCTCACTCTTTCTTTCTTTCTTTCTTTCTTTTTTTTCTTCAACTTCGTTTCTTTTTTTACTTGTTTTTAATTTTTGGTTTGCATCTCATTTTACTTTGTTTTCTTCTTCTACATTGATGAGAATCATTGTCCTCGTATCTTCCTGCCCCTGTTTCTTTCTCTATCTATCTTTCTCCCCCACCCCCCGCACCCCGTCAAGTCTTTTTCTTCTTTTAAACATTCCTCAGGATTCGTGCGTAGAAGAAAAGCTGCTATGAAGTATAAACCCTCCTTCTTTTTCGCTAAGGAAACTTCTTTGAAGAAAACCGGTTCTTGCAACTATGTGTACGACCACCGAGAAGTCCTAAGTTACTCGGTAGAAAAGAAAAAGAAAAAGAAAAAGAAAAAAAGAAAGGGTCGGAGAGAGAAACACGATTGATTGACTAAGTGAGACTGACAAAGAGATAGAAAGATGGAAAGAAAGAGAGAGAAAGAGAAATCCCGGATCTTCTACCCAGCTCTTCTCGTGGATAGACAAAATGTTGCAAATGTTTTTGTAAATTTTATCCCACGGCATCGTATTGTAAATTAGAAAAAAAAAAGAAATAGATATAGATATAGATCGAGATAATCATAAATAGATAGATAGATAGATAAAGAAAGAAAGAAAGAGTGACTGAGTGAGATGTCAGAATTTCTATGTAAATTATTATCTTATCTTTTACACATTTTCTATTATATAGGAATTTATTTTATCCAATCTACAAAAGCATTGAATTAGAAAGATAAATCTTATATATATATACGTATTTATTTTTTGTATCTATGTATGTGTTAATTTGTAACGCGTATTACAGGTTGAGTCCGAGAATTGCGAGAAAAAAATCTAACTCAAATGTTATCTGATTTTTTTGCTGGGGCGGGTGGATATTGAAAAAATATTATTCGTTTTTTATTAAAAATAGAATTATTATTATTATTCGATATATATGTATATTTACGCGTGTATGTAACTACGATATGATAAAAAGTAACAACAATAGAATTATAGAAAGAAAACGGAAGTCCCACGCATACCAGGGGGGAAAGGAGGGGGCCAGGGGAATCGTATAAGTATTTCTCAATGGTGTTTTTACAGTATATAACACGCAGGACGTGTTATATACGTGTGTGTGTATTCGAACACGTTCATCGTTTCTTCGTCTCGTAATCTAAGTTTATGGTATCGCTAGTCGAATACTTAGAAAGCTGTTAGATAGCATGCTGCTCGACGAAGCTTTACGATCCCTCTTCTCTAATATTTTCTATTTCTGAATTATGGGGAAAGGAGTATTAGATAAAGCTTCGATAAATCCTACTTTTTTTATTTCTATATTTGTAATAAGTGAAATTTTATATACTGCATCACGTTTATATTTTTCATAACTAACATTGAAACAGACCATTACGATAAATTTATTTATTTATACAATACAAATTGATAAAAATTAGAAAAATAAAAAGAAATTGTATAAATCTTGCAAACAAATAAAATAAACTAATAATAATGATAATAAAAAAGAGGAAGAGAGATGGTATAGAAATGATTTGAATAAAATTTGAACTCGAATAAAAGGAAGGAAGGAAGGAAGGAAGGAAAGGAAGGAAGATAGTTTAATTAATTTTAGAAATAAAATAAGGAGACGCGCGGGTAGAAAAATCATAAATAAGAGGAAGAAAGAAGGAAAGAAAAAGTAAGGATCGTCTAGACAGCAACTTCCGGTATCGTTGGGACGGTGGCCATGTTACGACAGACCCCCTTTTGCTTCTCAACACCTGGCTTCGTCGTTCACTCCTCTTTTGAAGGTGAATGACCTCTTTCGGTATACCTTTTTATATTTCGTCATTTATTAAATTAGAACTAATAATCTAATATCTAGTTTCAAGATTTTTTACAATTTGTTGGATCAATCAATAAAATATATGTACGAAACAATAAAAAGAAATAAATATTAATAATTCAACGAACAAAATCTATAACTGATTTGAATTTTGATTCGTATCTAATATAATTCTCTAATGAATTAATGGAAAAATGTGTGTGATGCATGTACTGGTGCTAAATTTTTTTTGCAATTAAAAAAATGATGGGGAGGGAGGGAAAAAAACATAAACGAATAGAATTGTTTTTTTTCTGGCGGAGTATTTGGCCCGTGCGTCTTCACCTTTTAGACCGTTGTCACCGAATTAGATGGACTTTGGCTCGAGAAGGTTCACGAGAAAAAAGTTTAGTATATGTACACAGAAAAGAGAGAGATACGTGATTCGATCAATGGGCTTCTTGCCAAGGACATAAAAGTTAATTTCAAGATCCTGATATATTCGAATGCGAAATTTTTTTACGATGAAATAAATAAAATTAGAAATTATCTCTGTCGGATATTTTATTGAAAATATTATTAAAAAAAACAAATATATCTGTGAATATACGATATTAAACGTAATAATATATTTTCAATTTAACAAAACGCAAAAAAAGAAAAAACCTAATATAATTTTATTTTAAACGAATACGAGAGGAGATAAATTATTAGGCAATACGTTTGGAACAAACAATTTTCTAAATGACCATAGTCTCGAAAAATCTACGCACGCACGCACACACACACACATACATATAATTTCCCCTAACGTCGACATTATTCTCTATTAGAAAAAGAAGAAAAAAAAAAAAAGTACATAGAAAAGCATACTAAAGGAGGATAAGTGTATGTATACACGCGTGTGTGTGTGTATATGGTAACGTATACGTGAATACATCTACGAAATTCCCCTAACATCGATATTATTCCATATAAGAAAAAATATATATACCTATCTATACTAAAGGAGGGTGTGTATATTTGTGTATGTGTCTGTGTGTGTCTGTGTGTGTTCTAAGGAGTACGAAACTACGACGCAGCACTCGCAAAAGTTCATCGGCCTGAGCCACGCGTTGCTGCGTCGTTCTAACCAGTAACGAAATTATCGAACGAGAACGTTCCAATATTATTTATATTCCTTTTTTTTTTTTTAAATATTATTCTAACATTTGTATACCAGCTAACACCACACAATAATATACCTGTTACCCAATGCTCGTATATAAATTATTTTAATTATCAATAAATGTGAACACACGAATAAAATATGAATATCCTTAATACTTAATTCCCCCTTTCCTTCCTTCCTGTATACTCTCGTATGCCTAAATAAAATGTAATCTTACATTAGAAATATATATATATATGATTTAAAATAATTTTGAAGTTCAATTAAGTATATCTGTCAAGTTAATTAAGTATTTATTTCAAAGACAACGACAATGATTATCAAGATGATCGAGTCGAAATTGACATTGATGACCTATCTAGATCTTTCAAATGATATTTCAAATGAGACTAAAAGATCAATTGATCTCACGATCATTCGATCAATGATATATGTATATGTGTGTGTATGTAAATTTGAAGCGTGGGACGACGTCTTCTCCTTTTGAGAATGGTCAATAATTTTACAGTCATTATTCTTACGAGAAAACGACCCTTCCTTCTTTCTTTTTTATTTTTCTTTCTTTCTTAAATCTCACACACGTACTCTCTCTCTTCTCCTTTTACACTACGTTATTCCGTCTGATTGTTTTTTTCTCACTTTCTATCTTTTTTTTTTTTTTCATTTTTCTTAGACTGTTGTAAATCTTTCCCTTTTACTTCACGAGGGAATTACTTACACTATCGTATCAACATATTTCTCTCTTTTACCCACGTATAACTTTTTTTCCTATTTACTTTCTGGCGCCTAGAATTTTACTACTACGGTTGTATAGTATAATCTAATATGTGTTTTCTTCCCCTAACACTCGTGGTTATTATGTGCTTTTTAATTTATCATTTTCTATGGTATATAACCTTTACATAAGATGGTTCCTTCGTATTACTTTTTTCTATCGAATCATTTTATTTTTTTTTATTTTTTTTTTATTTTTCTTCAATCAACAAGTTCAAATTATGATGCAACATTTTTACGAGAAATCAAGCAAGTAAGCAAGCAAGCAAGCAAGTAAACGTTCCTTTACACGTTTCTATCAATTATATAAAAGTTAATATATTTTCTCTCTCTCTGGATGACATTTAAAATAATATAAGATAATAATAAATTTAATATATTTTTCATGTGAATTATATATATATATATATATATATAGTAGATTTGATGAATTTCTTCTTATTCGTTTGCTTATCTGTTTCTCTGTAATTAAATTTGCAATTATCCTTTCATTTAGAATTTTTTTCAAAAATCCTCATTACCTTTCGAATTTGTGATTCATGAATGATTAAGTAACAAAGAATCTTTAATTCATCGATGAAGTCGAATAAAACGAAGAAAAATAAATAACAACTTAAAATATCAATCATGTTGCAACGATCTCTTGCCAGTACCGTTAGATATCTACCACACGATTCTAACATAAAACATAGTTGCATAGCTGCATAGTTACCATACTTGCATACTTTCAAGATATACAATGTTGAGAGAGACGAAGACAAAGTTATTTGCTTCGTCATTTTTTTATTCCTTCCTTATTATTATTATTATTATTATTATTATTTGACAAATATTTCGAGAAACACGTTTAAAGGATAATTATAATAAATACAAAAAATCTAATGTGAATTATCAGAAAAAGAAAAAATCAATGAAATACTGTAAAGAATTCTTTGCAACTCTTATTCATAAGAATATAATTGCATATAAGATGATAATAATAATAATAATAATAAAAAGAAAATAAATAAATAAATAATGTATTAAATATTTGAAAATATCAAATCAACGACGTGTGTGCATAAATGTGAGAAAAATGCATAAGTTAGCATCAAGTATGTTATAATCAAATTTATCTCTGTTTCTATCAATCGTATAACATTATCAATGCCATAAAACAATGCCAATAATAATAATAATAATAATAATAATAATAATAATAATAATATATAAGGATGGAAAGAGGATGATAGTGGTAAATTATAAAAATTTACATGCGATTGCATCTCTTTAGTTGTTCTCGTTCACACCCACCCCCAGCCTCAGCCCCGTTCCTTCTACAAGCCCCTATCATTTTCCATCGTTCGATTTTACGCTCGATATGATTTAAAACGCCTAAGTTTTATGGATATAACGGCCATGGGCGATTGGACATCGTAAATCTGTACTATTCGAAACTCACATATTTCTCTTTCTTTGTCTCGATCATTTTCAAGGTGGAACAGAATTCCCCCTACCCCACTACCTCATTCTCTTCTTTACCCCACGTTGCTACTATATAAATTATATTAAAAATCTATACTAACTTCTCTCTCGCGAATATATGATATCGAAATGATTTTCCATACAAATTTATTCCGATTTAAATTTTTTCGTTTTTTTTTTCGTTTCTAAATCAACAAATCTTTTCTTTTTTTTTCTTTTTAATTTTTATACTAACACATCTGTTAGAATACGCATTTACATATATATTTTTTATTATTTATACGAGATATCTTTTTACAAACAATAAATCAATAATAAATTAACGTATACGACATAATAATTGAAGAAAATTACATCTTATATTAATAATAATAAAATAAAAAAGAAAAAATTAAGTTTCATTTTTCATACGATTGTTTTGGGCACAGAACAACGAATAAGTTCGGATTAAATTCATAGGAATTTCTAAGAGAGAGAAAGAAAGAAAGAAAAAAAATAAAAAATAAATAAAAGGAAAGAGGAGGAGGAGGAGGAGGAGGAGGAGAACGAGGACGATCTGATTTAATTCGCTCGAAATTCTCCAGACAATCCCCCATGGTACACGTTGTAGCTACCCATGGAATCTGTTCTTCGCGAAAGATAAAAGCCGGACACGATAAACGCGTCTTCTGGTGGAAACGTTAAAGGTATATACTTTCCTCTCCTCTCCTCTCCTCTTCTTTCCTCTCTCTCTCTCTCTTTCTCTCTCTCTCGATTTATCGTTTCTTTACTGCTTTTATTCGTTTACATTCAACTCTTTATCTACACACAAATATATAAATGCATTTATGTACATATATATGTAGGTGTTTGTAAGTGTATATGTGTTGAAAAAGATTATACAACATTTATGAGAAAAATCATAATAGACACTCGTGTACACGTGTGTTTGTACATATTAAATATATTATATATAATTAATATGTTTGAAAATGAATATAGGAAAAAAAAGCATTGTCACCGAGACATTTGTTTCTTTTTACTTTTTTTTTTTTTTTAAGAAATATATGGAAATTATCGTAAATTTGATTAGTACAAAATTTAAGAAACACCATATCCTACGGTACGTGTAATATTATTTTTCTTATAGGTATATTCGTAAAATATTATTTATTTGGTTAAAATATATAAAAATTTATCGGTATTAATAATTAATATTGAAATAAATGAATATATTATACGAGAGAGAAATGATTAAAATGATTAAAAAGAAAAAGTTCTTCGGATAAGATCTGTAGATGTTGAAATCTTCAGCTTCCGAGTTGTATTATTTCGTTAACCGGATGAGATCGTTTTGTCAAATCAATGATATAATGTCGGCGTAAACCTCGTCGTATCGCATGATATTTCTATCTACATGTCTCTTCTTTTCGATTCGATGATATTTCAAAGTTCAATTAAAATTAAAATAAATGAAAACAAAAAAAATAATACTACAATAATTTTTTTTAAGATTTCAAGGAATACAACATTGTACTATAATAGATTTATACAAATGTATCCTCGAATCTTTTTATTATATATATATATAAAAATAAAAATAATTATGCATTTCGAACGGAAGCGGACATTAAGACAAATATATTAAATATCTTTGTCCGAAATCCGAAAAATTATCATCTATCAAACTAAAAGGAAATAAAACTATTATTATAATTATTACTAAAAAATGATATGAAAATTATTGAACAAAAATATTTGATATGTTTTTTACAAAGAATTTACTACCAATTTGAACGCGCGAAATATTTGATATATCTCATTACTGAAATATATTCAAATATAATCAACGTCTCTTCGTTGAAATCATTTTTTTTTTCTTCCAAAAATAAATAACTCAAAATCGTATGAATGCGAATTAATATTCATAAACTCGTTTGGTAATCAAACTTGATTTTGATTTATTTATGACAAGGTCACGGTCATAAATTCTTTACAAGAGAAATATTTTCAATGATAATTTAATGAATGAGTTTTAAAAAAGAGAAAGATGTATTCAATCAATCTCTCTATCGATCTGATTAACACGTGGCTACCGTTTAACGCAATTTTAAACGCGTGTTAATTTGTATTTAACGTCATTATGAAAATATACATTAATAATATTTGATTTATTATTTAAATCACAAAAGGTAGAACTTTTTCTTTTTTAAAAAATGATCCACACGATGTGTTTTTTTATATCATACGTGTACAGTCGACAAATAAAACGAATTTTACACATTTTAAACATTATTCGATTAACCGTCAAACATTTCTGAACCCACATTTATCGTAAAAATAAAAATAGATTTATTCCAATAATATATATATAAAAAAAAAAAAAAAACAACAACAGAAAATAGAAATAAAATGAAATAAAGTTATACTCACCCCCGTCTTTTTTGGAGTACCCAACCGAAGTTTTTCTTTGCAAACTGGCGACAGCGTTAGGCGGGAAAGTTAATGCAAGGAATAGGGCAATACTGAACGCTAATCTCCAAAAGCACAAATTTTTCCACCGTACAACACTCGAAGCGTATCTCGAATTTTCTCCACGATTTTGCAATGATGAATAATTATTTTCCCTTGTTATCCATTTATCCTTGTCGTCCTTTCTTCTGATACTCTTCGATGATACTTCGTAAAATGAACGACAATATTTCGAAGAAGAGGAAGAAGACGATGACGATGACGATGAAGATGACGATGAAGATGACGATGAATTATAATAATTCGAATCTATTTCATCTAAATGACGATCAGACGAATTTAACGAAGAAGATCCGTGCAACCTTTCACAAAGTACACAAGTTCTCGTTGAAAAATGATTATTGTTACACTCCTCCTTATTATTATTATCATCATCATCATCATTTTCTTCTTTATAATCCTTTTTACACTCGTTATTAATCATCGTAACACCGTTCGAGCAACAACGACAACGACAAAAACAACAACCACCACTTTGACAACAGAAGTTTGCTGCTGATTGCTGATCGTCAAGTGTACTACTGATGCTTCTTGTTGTACTCCTAGTTGACTTCCTACTACTACTACTACTAGTACTACTATTACTACTACTGCTATTACTGTTTAACTCCTCGTGTATCTCCATTCTGCGCATGCGTCGTGAGAAATACATTTTTCTGCCCGCTTATTTTTTTTTTTTTTTTTTAACTTTTCAGTAATTTTCTTCCAACTTGTCTCCTTTTTTCGAAATTTTCTTTGCCAAATTGTCGTCCACCGAAAAAAGTTCTTCTCTTCTTTTTCTTCTTACTTGTTCCCTCTCTCTCTCTCTCTCTCTCGTTTATTATTTATCTGAATATATAATTTCGATATTAATCAAAATGATCGTTCATCGTAGATCGTAGGTAATATAATATCACTCGTAAATCTTACGAATATTATTTGAAGTTAATAACAATAGAGATATGATTTAACTCCCGTTAAAAACTTAAACAATTTGTCGTAATATTGAATCATTTGAAATCCATCGATACGATTGGATAATATTGATGACAACGATGACGATGACAATGACGACAATGCTGATGATGATGACGATGATGATGATGATGATGAAGATAAGACGATGGTGTTCATTGATTTCGGTTGGTCGTTCACGTGGACCAACGCGATTTTTAACAAATTCGATGGAACAATAATAAAAACTATAACAATGACGATAATTATTGTTATTAATTTATCGATAGTTGCTGGTTTTCGTCTTCTTCTACGTCCTCCCATCAAGATCGTTCGACGTCGTGCGTCGTTAGCACGACGGATTCCTAATTGCCGTTTATTCGATTAACCAATCCTCCACCTCGGTGTTACCACTACAACAGGACCCATATTCTTATTCTCGTTGGCACGTTGGTAATAATATTATTCGAGTAGTGGTCATCACACATATACAACAAGCGAGAAAAACAGATCCCGCGGTTGGTTCATTTCCAATGGTGGTGATGGTTGTTGTTGCTTCAAAATTTAACAAGCAAACAAGAGGCCGTGGGGGGCACAGGAGGGCCAGAGGGTTCGAACAACCAAATAAGATGACAAATTGATCGACGAGGAATCAATCGATTTATCTTTTCTTTTCTGTCTTTCTTTCTTGATTATCGTTGATCGTTCCTTCCTTTTTTTCTGCAATCAAACATTTCATTCGTTAGGTTACGTTTATTATATTTTAGATTTATTTGGGAAAATGTAATCGTGTCTATTAAATTATTGTATAACAATAATATATATAAAAGATTTTTGTTAATAATTAAATGAATAATAAATATATAGAATTAGTTTGTATATTAATTTCATTGAAATGTCAACTTCATTTTAGCAAACATTTCATTTCAAGATAATAATGCAGTTTCTATACTATTACGTATTTGAATTCGTATTACAAGACTGTAGAATCTATCGTAGAAACACTCACACATGGGATGAAAAAATAGAAGATATAGTAGATACGTGAATTGTTTAAAAGCTAAGCAAGTTCAGAGAAAATTCGTGATGCAATATTCAAAACAACGTCTCATCATCGTTCAACCTATGTGTACACATTTGCGAGTATGTACCACCCAGTGGAACATTAACATCAAAGACAGACAGTAGGAGAATGAGTAGGAGAGAAAGATTGGATGATGGGGGAGGTTAGGGAGTAGGGGGTTGGTTGGTGGAAGGGTGTGGGTTGGTTGAAGGATTGCGAGAAGGATACAATGGAACTAACAAACGTTTGCAAGTCAAACGGTGCTTTTCATTATGAGGAATGGCTACACTTAAAGCTCTTCTAACTCACCGTTATCCTAAATACAACCACAATAAAACAACCACTGTTTTTTCTATCCTTTATTGCTTTATCAAACTTACTTTTATCATTTTTTCATATTTTTATTTTGCGATCTCTCTCGTTTCTTTGAAATATAATTATTGAATAATAAATTCGTTTTTCAATTATTAAAAGAGTATAATATTTTGTCGAGATTCTATCTATGTAAAAAAAAAAATGTAAAAAAAAAAGAAAAAGGTTTTATCTACCCTGGAAATTCCCTCTTTATCTTTTATCGAAACTAATATAAATCTAAAAATATATTATACACGTGTGTGTATGTGTATAATGATGATATAAATATATTATTATTATTATTAACAAAAAAGATGAAAAAAATAAAAGAATAATAATAAAATAAATGTTTGCCAATCGACTACTATTAATTTTCTTTTAACAATAGCAAACATTTAAAGATTAATGTAACATAATTATATTAATTGAATATTAGAAATGTATTATAATATTATTTCGTATTAAAGTAAACATGTATAAAAACCGACTTTTGCAAATCGTTTCAATATCGATTCTTATCGATTCGGACAAATCACAGAACCGCAATTTTTCATTTTTATCACGTAACACCAGTGTTCTTATCTACAATAACACGTGCGAGTAACTTAAATTATAGCTAATAACGATAAAAACAACAAGATATAGAAAAAGAAAAAGAAAAAAGAAAAAAGGGAGGGGGAGGGAATTTTTAAAACAAATTAAATAAAAAGAAGAAGAAGAAAAAGAAAATAGAAGAAACTAAAAACAAATATAAAATATAAATAAGTAATAATATTAAACATAAATAAGAATAAAAAGAAAAAAAATAAAATTGTACAATTAGTTTTTTAAACGACGATATATAATATTACTCATACAATCTAATTGGATATCTTATCGTCATTTCTATGCTAACAATTTTTATGCACAAGGACGTTATATAACTATCTTCTAATGATAATAATACTTTAATTAGTTAGTTACTCGTTAAATACTAGATTTAACTTTATTACCATCGACTTACATATACGTAAATATTCCTTTTTCGATATTATTTATAAATAAATACTATGAATTATATATGTGATACCTTTTTGT